TCATCCATCAGGGAAAAGAAAAGTTGGCTGTGTAAGTCAAGAACAGGACTATCCGCCAGATTTATAACCCAGAGGGGTGTGCTGTGTGGGGGGAGAGGCTCTGTCCTGGAAGGCAGGGAAACTCTGATTCTGAGATGTGGAAATGCCCCCGGGCTCCCTCCTCCCGGTGCTCTGACCCACAAGATGGACACCAGCGCCTCTCTGAGCCTCTGGTGGGCAGTTTGGGCTCCCCGGGAAGAAAGGGGCCGGGAGAGGAGCCAGAGCTACGCCCACCCCGAGGGCCCCCCGGAGGGCAATGGGGCTTGGTCCGCCTCCCAGGCTGGAGCTGCCAGATAAAATCGTCCGCAGGATGCCCAGTGGAATCTGCACTTAGGAAAAACAACAAAGAATGTTTTAGTAGAAGTTTGCCCTGTGCAGTATTTGACGTCCTATTTTTGCGTGTGTTTATTTGTAGGCTTTTTTGCTAAATCTGGCACTCTACCGAAGGAGGGAGGCGGCAGGGAGGGAGCGGGGAGCAGGAGAGCCGAGAGGCGAGGTGAAGCTGAGTCGGGAGGGCCAGGCGGCCGCTGGTGAGCCCTGCCGGCGGGGCTGAAAGGAGCTGGGGAAGGAGGCAGCCTCGGCTGCGGTGCCCCGGACAGGGACAAGGTCCGAGGCGGAGAGGTCCAGGGCAGCCACAGGCACGCGGCTCCCACGGCCCGAGGGGGCTGCCGTCTGTTCCAGCGCCAGCCCCGGGGTCCCCCACCAGTCACCCGCACGTGCCGAGCTCAGCGCACCGCGGGAGAGACCGGGGCTGAGAGCTGCCCCGGAGCCGCCACGGGTCAGGCTCGGAAGAGACCAATCAGCCTCGCGTATTCCTTTTCGTTTGGTTGGTTTTTATTACTTAAAACAAAACCCCTCGCCCCAAATCAAAGTATGAAGTAACCAGACCCTGTTTTAAGTTCGTAGGTACGCTTCATGAAAGACTGTGAGGTCTCCCACCACTTCTGTGCTTCCAGTCCCTGGTCACTGAGAATTTCCCACCCTGGCCTCTGCCCACACTCAGGATCCGTGCAGGTGTGTTTGTGTGTCTTTTTTTTTTTAATTAAAAGTAAAATTTAAAATTAGGAAGCTGACAAGACAGGACCTAATCAAGCTGGGACTGAAAAGCCCAGAGTAAGCTCCAAGATGTGAGGAAGTGCTGGCCAGGAGGTAAGATAAAATAAAGGCACTTTTCTGAAATCTCCCAACTTCCCTCCCTACAGGTCTCTTGTTCCACTTCTTTTCAGGAGAAATAAACAGGAAAGAAGACCCTACTTTCTTAACCCTGCTCTTTTACTCCTAATCAAATGTGATGCTTTCCATTTCTTTACCTTCAAGAAATTTTAAAATTTGCTCACACATTTCTTTCGATGGCAGATGTAAACCTAGCATGAGTCAATAGTCACAGACCTGTCCTCTCTCAGCCCAAGGAGACCCAGGTCACTCTTCAGGAAGACGAGGAGAACGTGGGGGGAGGGAGCCACACACAGGAATGTAACTTTAGCTTCCCACCTTGGTCGTGACCCTTAACTTTCCTGAGCTCTGGAGCCCAGTCCAGAGAGGCAGGCTTGGCTGGTTGAAGCTGCTGACTCAGATACACTAAGAGCTGAAAGATGTTCAAGCTTCCCAAGATATTTTCATGACGGGAAGGAGGAGGGGAGTGAGAAGGACGAAGAGGGAATGGGAGAGAAACGAATCAACAGGATAGATTTAAAGAAGCTTAGACTAGAATTTTAGGTTCCATCAAAATCTACTAACTCCAGGCCAGCTGTAGATGACAGTCAAGCAACAGGGGAAATGTACTCTCAAAAAGGAAAAAAAAAAAGTTCTAATCCATTGCTAAAAGTAATAATCTGAGAATATGAAATTTCTTCTTAAAACCACTGCCACTTTTAAAAGGATATTAAACATGATACACCATTAGATAATATAATTCCTGTTCCTTTAAAGAATCTGAAGCATAATTTGGGAAATAAATTTCTTCCAGCTACAAAGCTGGGTTTTGGTATTAATGTTGCTCGCAGTACAAGGTGTTTTTTCTCCAGCAGTTGCCCAACAAACATTCCCTTCTCCAGGGCATGAGCTTTTCTTAAGGATCTCTGGAGAGGGGGAAAGATACCGTGTGTTTCTGCACCTGCATTTGTAGCCAATAAAAAAAGCCAATGTCTCCACAGCTGTGTACTTGAACAAAATCTCCATAATCCCACAGAAACAAATCTCTATAAATCACCAGCAGATATTCATAGGATCCTAATGGTCTGCGGGGACTTCCCTGGTAATTCAGCAGTAAAGAATCCACCTGCATGCAGTGCAGGAAACATGGGTCAGATCCCTGGGTCCGGAAGATCCCCTGGAGAAGGAAATGGCGACCCACTCCAGTATTCTTGCCTGGAAAATTCCATGGACAGAGGAGTCTGGCAGGCTACAGTCCATTGGATCACAAGAGTCAGACAGGACTTAGTGACTAAACCACCACCACCCACCAGTGGTCTGTGAACTTACTGTACATGTGGGCCTATGATTCAAATAGTGCTTCACTTCCCTAAGTAGTGAGCTACTTGCCCAGGACCACATCTAACAGGCTTCTCAATGTGCATGCTATGTTACATACAAATACCTCCAAAAAACAACTGCAAAAAAATACGTACAGCAACCAGTAGTCCCATCCAGGCAGTTTTCCCTAATTTAAATCCCAAACGGGCTTTCTCTGTATAAAGCATCGCATAGAACTGATCCACTTGTACACCTGCCTTCCTAATGGAAAACAACTATCTAGTCCTTTCCTGCCTTCTCTCATCATCATTAGATTGGTGACTGGCTTTTTTGTTGGGGTTAAATGGAACTATGCGATCGAATCAACTGAAAGAAGAAAACAAAAGTTACATAAATAATATGTGCAAGGTACACAGCAGGACCAGCTGGAGACTGAGCTGCTGGGCCCTGACAGTCTAGTCCCCCAAAATCATCACTCCAACCTCTTGTGTCAAATCCTATTTTCCTTTGCAATTACGTGTTTTCAATTTGAAAGGCTCAGGCTCTCCTGGACACTTGGTTCCCGGTGAAAGAGAGCCAGCGCAAAAAACCCAGGCTTGTATCTTTCTCCAGCTGCAGCTGCTGCTCCGCCTTCCTGCCTGTCCTCACTCCCCACCTCTCAGGGCTGTTTTCGGTTTGGAAGCTTTAGAAAAGGTGAACTTTGGCTATCCCAGAGAACAGGTGTGAAGAGCACAGGGTGTGAAAGCAACCCCCTCTTGGACAGGGGCCCCAGAACCCAATGCATTATTAGGGGGGTGCTGCCTGCACTATCACAAATGCTGCCTGAGTGTTGGGGGAAATAGAGACGGAGGAACTGGAAATGGGAAGGTTCAGAAAAGTCACTGGCATGGATCAACTTTGAGAACTGAGACAAAACTCACCTAGTCACCTGCCCTAATTTAACAGAGAAAAACAAAAAGAAGCTTCTCTCCCCTCTCCTGTGACTCCCCTATGGCAAACCTATAAAACATGAAGAGATCACACTGACAAGAGTCACCTGGAAGTGAGTAGACATACTCAGAAAAAGGCTTATATCCTACCTCAGATTAAACAGTCACAAAATCCACGTTCAGTGAACCCACTTCTGTCCTTGAAACACCCAGTTCTGCTCTTCACGTGAGATGTTCTCAGAGGTCGGGTGTGCAGAGCCTAACTGAGGAGCAGGGCAGCAGAACTGAGCCTGCAGGGCCGCCTGCCAGCTCATGCCCAAAACCGTGTCCCCGGCTCCACCCAGCAGTCCAGCGCTCCAGAAAGCCTCTCTCCAGAAACCAGAAGTATTGCATTGGGGTGGGAGAGGCGCAATTAGGGGTAGGCAGAAGCTCTCCCATTAGTTCCACCCACATGGCGGCTTTGGTCCTTCCAGAGCCTTCCACTTCTGAGTCCCAGCATACCTCTCAACCCTCTCCCTGAGAAGATGGGGATTCTTTCCTCTGCCCCAGAGAAAGGGAAACACCAAACACCTCTCCACTGAATTCCAAGAGGTTAAAAACCAAAAGAGCGCTTGGGCTGGGCAGGACAGTCGTAAGCTAGTAAGTCTCCAGGAGGAAAGGCTCCAGTGGGGTGTGCAAGGTTTTGGTGGCCTGAAGGAGAGAACCGGATAGAAAGGTGGGTAGGGGGATCTATGCAGCTCAAGGACTCAGGGCAGACCCCTGCTCTCTAGAACACAGCAGAGAAAGAGGGGGAGGAAGAGAGGAGGAAGACCGGAGGCGGCCCAGGCCCCCGGAGAACTGGTGAAAGGGCTCTCCAGGCAAGGCCTTCCTCACTGTAGGTCAGGTTTTGTCTTTCTTTCACAGACTGCAAAGGTCTGCCTGCGAAATGGTGTTACAGGACCTGAACTTCTGCAAAAGGAATTGGCTGGCTCTGTGTGCACCAGATTGAGTCCCCGCTAAAAGTTTTGGGAGTCTTCCTAGTCCCTTTCTACTATTGCTTCTAAACAGGGTTTCCTTCAACAAACTGCAAACGGCTGGAGGCCACAGCAGACTACTAGAAAGGCTTCAGGTTCGCTCCAGTTACCGGTGTCGAGAAAGAGAAAATCGCCCAGAGGAGGCCAAACCGTGGACCTGGGCTCCTTCTCTGCCCTTCCAGATGCGAGGCCTCTCAAGCCCACAGTCGGAAAGCCTGGCGGTGTGTGTGCCCGCGTGGATTTTAATCTGGTCCTGTTTCGACCTCTTTATCCACCTGTCCCCTTAAACTTAGAGAAGGCACTTGGCGAGCCCGAGGCGCCTTTCCCGAGGGCACCTGGGTTCTAACTCCTACCTTGCCTGGTCCACCTGAACGCCGCTTCTGCCAGGGAGTAAGGACCGGCTTGGCTGGAGTTGGTGGGGGGGAAGGCCGCGCCCAGCCCACTCCCGCCACACTCGCCTTCGGGCCTACCGGCCAAAGCCTCCAGAGCTGCTTCCAAGTGTTTCCGCCCAGGCGCCAGCCCGGCCCGGCCCCGCCGCGGCTCTTACCTGGCTTGGCGAGCGGCGCCTGCAGCGCCCCGGGCGGGGGCTCGGCGGCCCAGCGCAGCGCGGCGGCCGCAGCCAGCTCGGCAGCTGGGCGCGACGGCGGCTGAGACGGCTGCGAGGTCGGTGGAGGCTGCGGGGCGGCGGCCGCGTCTCCCGGCGGCGGGGGTCCCGGCAGGGCGCGCAGCGAGTCCGGGATGAGGCTCTCGAGGCTCTCGTTGGCCTGCTGCCTGCGCAGCGCCACCTGCGCCGCCATGACCCGCTGCCGCTCGATGATGAGGATGCACTTCTCGCAGGTGCAGTCTTTGAAGCGGCAGTAGCGCTTGTGGCCCTTGAGCCAGGACAGCACGCCGTGGTTGCGGCAGCGCGCGCACTTCGGCGTGCGCTGCAGGGGCGCCCGCGGCGGCTGCGACACCGGGCCGCCCATGTACAGGTAGGGGGAGCCGTAGCCGTTCATGCCCCGGGCCCCCGACAGAGCTGGCAAGCTGGTGGCGGGAGCCGGTACGGGGCCGCTGGACAGCGGGGCCGAGAGGCCCTCTCCAAAGTGGCCTCCGGGCGGCGCAGTCCTCGGCCCCGCAGTCCAGGCGGCCTCGAGCGCTTCGGAGTGGCTGGAGGGGCCGCGGCCGTCTTTACGGCTCCCGGCGGCTCTTCCCCAATCCCGAGTCGGCCGAGTCTCCGCCCGCCGCTCCTTTGGCCGGCACGTCCTCCCCGGCCGAGGCGCGGCGGCGGTGCCGGGAGCCGGCGAGAGCTCTAGCTAAGGTCTGAGGCGGCTCGTCTGCTGCTCCCGCGCGCACAGCGGCCGGCACGTCCTCCGCCGCCCTCCCCCTCCTCCCTCCCCCGCCACCCCCACCTTCGGGGTCCGGGCCTCCTGGCACTCTCCACCCCACTCCACTCCACGCCTCCTTCCTTTCTACCCGCGCCCCTCGAGTCCCTTGCTTCGCTCTCCTTGCTACCTGCCGCCGGGCCACTCTCACGGGGGCGCTCACGGCCCCCTCCTCCAGGCTCCCCGCGCCTCCCCTGCCTGCACCGGAGGGACTGCAGCACTCGGGACGCGGCAGCGCCCGAGGGGCGGGGAAGGGAGGACCGGCGCGGAGGAAAGCCAGGGTGCCTCTGGGCGAGGCGGGTGGCAGCTCCCCTTCAACTCTCTTCCCCCCTCCCTCCAGGCCCGATTTGGCGGCACTCGGCCCAAGGCGGCTTTCATTCCCACACTGGGCCACAGACACACGGCTCGGGGAGAACCGGAACCTATCCGAGCGCTGCGGGTGCACTAGGGTCCCGGCGCGAGAAGAGGTTTTAAGTTAGGGGGAGCCAGGCCCTGCGGCCACAGGCTGGAGGAGTTGGGGGTAGGGCATTGGAACTGGTTCGAGAAATGGGGGCTTTCTTGATTTCTTTTTGCGGCATTTTTTTTTTCCCTTTTGCCGCTGCAGAAGAAAATGCTTTTGAAAACGTTTTGGTCCAAAGACGACGACCCGTTTTGCAGGCTCCTCCCTCTGTGGCGCAGTTTACTTTTCTACACCTCCACGTTCGAATAAAAAATAAACTCTCTGTCCTGAAAAGCCGGCAAGTGCTCTTTTCGAGTTTGTGTTTAAGCACTGGGTCTAAACTTTCAGAGCGCAACTGGAGGGGCCACGCTAGCGCCCCCAAAGTTACCGCATATGATCTGCCCTCTACCCAACGGCCTTTGAGAGATCAAACGGAGGTCTCGCATCACCCCATTCAAATGCCCACGGACTCAGCAATCTAGTTCTGAATGAGGGATGGGGCCATCCCCCACCCCAGTGTCTTTGGGTACGGGTGGGAGAGGACCTTTGCACAAGATGACAGCATAAAACTTTGTTTAAAGTGATACTTGTTTGTATGGGTTTGGCCTACAGCAGAATACCTCCACAAATGCACAGAGATGCTCCCCTGATGCGAGAAAACAACAATAAAAAGCAGTGGTTCCTGCGGCGCAGGGTAGCACAATGGCTCAGTGCGAAGAGGGAAGATAGCAATCCTGGAGCCGTCAGTTGGCAGGCTTCAGAGCGCACCCTTAATTCATCTCTTGGCGGTCTGCACGAATCCAATGCGAATCCGGAGCGTACACCAGTCGGCTGAAACGGCCAACTGGTCGGCGCCTCTCAGCTTTACTCTGCACTGCTCTGGAAGCACACAAGCAACCCGAAAACGTCCGTGTGTGTGTGCTGTGAATTCAAGTATCACCAGGCGTTCCAGCAGCCAACCCTCCGCCTAAAAGGGCGATTCTGGGAGGGAGTAGGTTAAAAAGCGAACCTTATTGTGTACCTTTCCCTTGAGGCCCTTGGCCGCCCCCCCCTCCCCATTTCAGACCTGTGGACCTTGTGGGGCGCGGAAAGGAACCCCCAGCAAGAGACTGCTAACCTTGGGAGGCTTGCCTCCAAAACTGCTTAGGGCACAGACCCCTTAGTCTTACTCCTAACCTCCACCACGTCATCAATGTCTCCTCCCAGACTTCCAGAAAACACGCCTTAAGGCGCTAGAACTGGGAGGAACTTCCAGAAATTCTCAGGACTGGAGGCCTGGGTTGGCCGCAGCGCCGTGGCCCAGAGGCTCGGAAGTGGGGAGTTCACGGCGAGAGACACACAGAAGGCCTAGAATGACACTGAATCTGGGAGCTTTTGCACTGAAATCTCTAAATCTCTTGGGAATGCAGAGACCACAAACTTTTCAAAAGCCAGATTTCTCCCAGATTTCCTTCAAATAAATTGTCAGCAAAACCAGGAGTATAAGAAACCTGAGAGTAACAAATTTTTTTTTTAAAGGAAAGCATCAGAGCGCAACACCAGGTTTGGGGGACATTTCCACAAGGCGACCCACTCTTCCTCAGTCACCTAGTCACCCTACCCCTTTGCCACTCAAACAGTTTTGCATTATTTGGTCCCCGGGGCCCCGTTTCACTCCAGTGCACATCGGGAGCTGAGACCTAAATACTCATTTGATATAGTGCAATAATCCTTTTCTCATATTTGATGGGAATGTTTTCCATATCCCAGTATTTGACAACATCTCCCTATAGGGACAGGTTTGTATTTATGTTGGTAAAATGTCCCCTGCCTCAAAGTCTATTGTAACCCAACACCTGACAACCCCGAGTCCCATTTCTGTTTGCAGAAAGGGTTTATTCAAGCACATAATGGGATCCCAGCAGAAAGCCTTTCAGAACAAGGGGCTATGGTAAACTTCACCACATGAACTCCGTTTCCAGGGCTATTAAGCTTTTAATTGGAAAATAGCAGAGGAAATTTCAAGGTGACTATAACGTGTTAGTAGTTAGTGTGGAGAAGAAAAGCCGGAGCGGGGATGAATGTAGAAAGCATATGGTCCGAATCACATTTAGGAGGAGCGGCCTGCCGCTTAGTAGAAGTAAGTCCCGGCGGCTTATATACTTATGGGAAAAATCATCAAAGAAATTGGAAAGGGAGCAGGGAGGGTTACAAGTGAGTGTAACCTCGCTAGACTGGATCCACTCAGACCTGCTCTGGGTGGGTGTGGGTGCGCGCGCGCACGTGTTTAAACCACATTAACTGGGTAAAGCTGTGTGTGTGTGTGTGTGCGCGCGCGCATGTGTTCAAACCACAATTAACTGGGTAACGCTGTGATAGGTATTAAAGGGTCAAAGGCTGTAAGACAAGTGTGCATGTGTGGTTCTTTCTCTTGGCGCACACACAATCTCACGATGTGTGTGTATCTAAAAGTTAAGAACGCAGGTGCCCGTGCTCAGAAACTGAAGATGTCCTGACGGGAAGCTGCCCCTCACCACAAGCAACACTTAATCAAAAGGACAGTTTCATATTGTCCCGGATGTATAAATACATCAGGAAATTTTCTGCTTTGCTGGATTCTCATGGAGAGGGAGGTCAAGGTTCTTATACTGCTGTTTTAAACCTCGACCACGGTGACACTGAAGGCTGGCGGATGTAGAAAGCCTTTTTATGTTATTTTTTTTAGAAAGCCCTTTTAAAGCAGGAAAACGAACTCCCTCTCCCCACGCGAGAATTTTTCAGCTCTCGCCCTGTCCATGCCTCTCAGCATTCCTCATTGGCCAGCTTCACATTGAAAGGGGGGAACAAATGTCCAGTGAGGCATTTGTTTCTAGAGGGGAAACCAGCAATCGACTTCTTGGGGTGACACTGATGCCCCGGTCTGCCATATTTGGGAGAGACTCCTATACACCCCATGGATCCCCGAAGTCACCCTCTGGGGCTCAAGACAGAGAGTAGAGACCGTGCGACCAACGAGTGATTGAACCTGCGCCTGACGGGCGGGGGACGCGACTAAACAGAAGGAAGATCCTGGACAGTCTCGTCCCACACCATTTTGGCATCAGGCTGCCTGAGGATCTCGGCGGCCGAAGCTTTTCGGAGCAAACGGGACCTAAAACGGCTTGCAACCCCGCCAGCCCCGTACAGACGAGGCTGCCTGGTCCTTCGTATTCTAGAACCCTGGAAACCAGCAACTGCTCACGCCAAGGTCGCGCCTGCCCCCACCATCTAAGGCGGCTGTAGGGGTGTCGCTCCCGCACTGCAGCATCTGAGGCGCGGCGACACCCGCCGAGTGCTCCCCCTGGGCCAGGGCCGCGGGGCCCGAAGGCGCCTGGAGCTCCTGGGCAGAGTCACACACTCCTCGCCGGCAGCAGGAGGGCGTGTGGGGACCCGGGGGCGGTCAGATCCCTACACCGTTTTAGAAGAGGATCGCCTCAGCGGCCTGATGACCCTGTTTGCTTTCTGTGCCAAAGGAAAAGGAAAGCATGTACCCTCCGACATGAAACGAGAGCAGCCCGGACTTTAACACAGTTTCAAGACAATCTTTCCTCTGCGACTCCAAAAACCAAAAAGGGTGGAGGAAATAATTTTTTAAGTAAGTTAGAGGAAACTTCAAGAAACAGGAGTTTCTTTTCCGCGGAGTATTTGCTTTCGGGGCGCTAGTGCAATGCCCCAGGACAAGCCCCCTTTCCAGAACTCTCTGCCGACTCCTCGGCAGTCCCAGAA